TAGAAAGGATGAAGGAGAAAAAGATGTGGGTTCATACCAGGGAGTGTGTTACCACAACCACCTCCTTGAATGGATATAAGAAAAATGCTTGTAATGCCGAGAAAATAAAAACCCTCCAGTTCTATTTTGTGAGAAGATAATTTGGAAAAATGGCAATGAAATATTTTCTTCCATTGTTGTAAACAATTGTAAAGAGTGAACTTAGGAAAGCATTTTAAACTTGGGGATTGGCACTAACTAGTTAGATTTTTTTTTCTTTTCCTTTTGCCCTCCCTCCCTTTCTTCTTTTCTTTCTTCAAAAACTATAAATGCATCCATCCTGTGTCTTTCCATCTCCTGGTACATTGTTTGTCGAACTGTTCTGAACCTCCTCAGCAGCTGCCCCAGGAAGCCAGACCCACAGCTGGGGCTCTGATGGCAACTTCCTGCTTCAGCCACAGGAGTTCCACTGTTGGCGTGTTTCTGCTGGGGCACATCATCACTTTTAAAGGTTTTTTTGTTTGTTTGTTTGTTTTTGGTGCATTTATTTACTTCTTTAGAAAGAGAAAGAGAGAGGCATCCTCAACAGTGTCCCCATGCCAAAATCCATCTCCATTGATCCCAGATCAGATCGTAGCCACACACATGTGTACCTGGTATGCATAGGGAGATACTGGGGCATGGACCCATGACCATCCCATGTAGATCCAGTCAAGACCATTGTATCACTGCCTGGCCCCTGTTAAACAATGCCTGTCCCATAGAATTGGAAAACCATTAAATCAAGTAGAACTCTAATTTTACAGAAAAATAAATCAAGTAAAAGTTAAGAAAATTAAGACCGGCAGATGGTATGCTGCTTAAGCTTCTGGATTCCCATGGCAGACTATGGTTCAAGTCCTGGACCTGGTGATTTGAAAATCATGCTGGGTGTGTATGTGCATGCATGTGTGTGTGTGTGTGTCCAGAATCTCAAGAAGAGAATGGAGATTGTGTGTGATGTGGCCATTCCTCTGGAGGGCGATTTCTCACTCCCTCTCTGTCTCTTTGACTCTCTCTCTCTTTGGCAAGCACATGTACCCTATAGCAAAAACTAAAAAAAAATGAAAAAATAAGAAAATTGGCCAAAAGCCCAAAGGAACATTAAAGGCTAAGCCTTGTTTTAATTCATTTTTCTTAGTATTTTCCCTTAGTCATCTTCTAACTCATCTTAAACAGGTTGTTAGTAAGTTTAGTCATGATTGCTATTTAAAGAAATGGGTCAATAAAGGGGCTTGCAATAGAAAATCACCTTTTGAATTTTAGTTCAAGTAATTGTTCTGAAATATATACCTAGCAAAAAATATCTTTTAACAATACATTCTGTTCCACATTGAGGTTTTATTTATGTAAAAGGATGACTTTGAAATGAAATGTATGTGCATTTACCTATTTCTCTAAGAGTCTATTTCTCTAAGATTAGAATTAGGGTGAATGCTTGATCCATGTGACATTGTGTCTTGTGAAACTGTGTTAGGCGCTTGTGACCCTTGCTTTAGGGAGACTTAGAAATGTCTTTTGTGCCTAGGAGGCTACAAACTAAATATCTGGTCATATAATCAAGATTCCCTGCACTTCTATGAACTTCCTTTAGGATTTTGGGCAGAAGTGCTGAAGAGTTCATTACTACATGCTAGAATACTAACGAGGTTGGTAGGGCTATTTCCTCTAAGAAGAAAATAATAGCATTCATTATTTTTAACCTGCATTGATCAAAATAATGTCTTTTGAAAACCACAATGATGAAGCTAAGAATTATGACATTTTAAATTTCCCCACCAAATGAGTGTAAAATCTTGTTTTGAATTTGATACAGGTTATTATGATGAAATTCTATTTTTTTTTTAAGAGAGAGATTTTTTGCTATAGGGTATGTGTACTCACCAGAGAGACAGAGAGAGACAGAGAGACAAAAGGGAGAAATAGTCCCCTAGGGGCGGATGGCCAGGTCTCAATCTTTTCTCCTCGATTCTCCTCTTGGGATTTTGGACACCACATATACGTGCCTGCTGTGAGTTTAAGCCACCAGGTCCAGGACTCAAACTGTGGTTGACTACATGGGAGTTCAGCAACGTAACCATTATGCCATCTGCTGGTCCCTGATGAAATTCTTATTGGTCTTAATTTGTTCAGTTTAGGATTTTAATTATATGTTCCTTTTTATAACAACTTACAACTGCTTAGTATTTTGTCAGGATGGCAAGCAAGGTTACCATTGCTTCTTTAATAACATTTGCTCTGAAGTCTTTGTTTATTATGCTTGAGAACTTCTTGAAAAATCTTAATCAGAAAGAAGTTTTAGAACAAAGAACTTCAGACTTGATCATAACACAAGGAACTGATTTTAGCACTCCGAAAATATGCCAAAGGATCAAACCAGCAGACACAGGGCGGGGCTTTGACAGCCTCCTTTCTGTACAAACAACAGCTGGCCGTGCCTGTTGCCCTGGTGGGGGACAGAAAGAATGGAAAAAAAACATTTTTTTTTGTAATGTGTTGGAAAGTTTTCAGTGAAATCATGATGTCACCAGGATATGTTTTGTCTGTGACTTTAATTTGCATAAGTTCTTTCCCATGAAACTATGTAAAATACAAAGGAATGTGTTATGGTAATTTTGCCTCTATGATGCCAATACCCTTATTTAAGAGTCCATGAAGGAGACATCACCTTTTAAGAATTTCTTCTGTAAATTATCTCAAAGTAAGAACTCATGCAAAAGGAAAGGAAGGGGGTATGCAAATACTATGACTTTCGCATTCACAGAAAAAAATGGGATTGTTTTGCATTCCTGACCATTGGCTAATATTTTAACTTTGCGCTATGTGTTTTCCAGAAGAGCCACGTTTTCTTTTTACTTACAGTTTGAGAGGTGTACTCACTTGATTATTTTTCCTCTTTAATTACCTCATAATGTTTTGTTGGAGTCTTTTCTTCAAAAAGTTTTCATCATCAAGCAAAAATATATGGGAAACAAAGTTTTAGAGATTGGTTTGGATATCAAATTAAGGAATGTTTTACTGTAGAGCAGAGATATTCAAAACTCCAGTAAAGTTGAGTGTTCAGCATTCCACCCAGCAATTGTAATTTCTCGAATCTATCCATTGGAGCCTTGGGAACTTGGTTTGAGTTGGTTCCTCAGCCTCCGTCTATCTCAGAGGATGTAAATAAAATAATAGGGAGAGGCAAAGTGAGGTGAAGCAGGGTGGGTCCAGATGCCAGGGACATGGTTTCTAACTTTCTCAGTATTTTTCAAACTTAAAAAGTTGGACTTTTTTTTTTTTTTTTTTTTTTAAACTTTTACTGGTGATTTTTATTTCCAATAATACGGCTATTTGTACCAGGACTCTCACTGAAAACAAGTAACACAGGTTAGGTAAAATACTTCTTTAAGAAGTTCTTAAAAGCATCAATTAACTGGTAAAATAAGAAGCTTTCTCAGGACACTTTCTAACCCAAAGCAGGAACCTGGAGGAGTCAGACAATAAATGAAGCCACTTTCATCCTCAAGGCCTTCCTTGAACTAGGCGAACTTGACCTTCAGTTTTGAGGTCTGTGCTGGGACATGAAAGGATGAAATCAAGGCTCAGGGTCTGGCCAGGGTGTGGAGTCAAGTACCAGCCCTTCCCTGCAAGCTGAGGCAGCAAAACAACATCCTCAGGATAAAGATAAACAGGAATTACATTAGCCCCATGCTGCTCTCCTGAAGAGGGCAAAGAAATTGGCCTCAACCCTGAGCCACGCCAGAGGGAAAACAGCTTACTGAGAAGCCCTAACCGCATGCCAGGCTTCTCATGGATGCGTAGCAACAGTCAATTCTATCCGTATTATTTGTACAGGATAAACTATGCATTTAATTTTAAATGATTTTTTAAACAAATGATTTGTCATATGAATAGTGCAAGAAAAATGCATATTATAAAAAAAAATCTATGCCTGGATGTCACTTTTTTTTTGTACAAACATAAACTCATACTTTTTTTTTTTTTTTTTGCTATAGGGCTTGTGCACTAGCCAGACAGACAGAGAGACAGAGAGACAGAAAGCGAGAAATCACCCCCCAGGGGGGATGACCACACCGCAATCCCTTCTCCTCCATTCTCCTCTCTGGATCTTGGGCACGCACACACATACGCCTGGCATGAGTTTAAACCACCGGGTCCAGGACTTGAACCATTGTCAACTATGTGGGAATCCAGTGACATAGCCATTATGATAACTGCTGGTCCCACAAACATAAACTCATACTTTCAATCCATGTGTCCATGAACTTTCTGAAGTCCACTTACAGTAGCTGAGCTAAACTGTTTAGAAGTCATCTTAAACATAAAGAATTGAACAAGATATTGTAGATTAATTCTCTCTCAAGTGACAGTCCACATGTGATGTACTCATGGCCAATGAAGTAACTGTCATACTCAACATACGTCTCTTTCAAGTTTCCTTAAAATTTTTCCATTGAGTAACCATTAAACAGAATGAAAAATGAGGCCTTGGACAAGTACCTTCCTTCCAAAAAGAGTTTACACAGAAGCTGGGTACATGAAATATGTTTGTATTCCAGTGGCCCCAGATTATAAACAAAATCATCCCTAATCTAAAAGTTTGTGCTCACACTGATTTCTCATCTTGTTTTCTTTTTCTTTCTTTTTTTTTTTTAAATTGAGGTTTCTGTTCTTATGATTGCTTTTTCTTATTGGTTAGATTGTTTTGCCAGCATGCCAAAGGAGTACACTTTATTATTATTATATTTTTTGACTCCTTGCATATCTTTTTTTTTTTCCACTCTGGCAAATGAACAAGTCTCTTCTCACTTCCTGTGTTGCAGATAAGAAGTTCAATGCTATGAGTTATTGTTTTCCCTTCGCAAATAACCACTTCTGTATGTTTGGAAGCTTATTAAGATGTCTCCTTGGAGTTGAGGAATTTTATCAGGACACATGTGATAGGAGCGTGTGTCTTTTCTGAGAACCTTTCCTGGAACTCAGGGAGCCCTTCTAATCTAAAAATTCTGGTCTCTGTTCCATGAAATTTTACAATGTTATCTCTATAGTGATATTTCTCTACAGCATCTGTTGCTTTTCCTTCTTCTGGAACTCCTTGTTTCCCAGTTTAAGTCTTCTTTCAGGATGGGCCCTCTAGCTGGGGTCTGCTGGAACTTTCTGGGTAACTGCACGGCATTTAAGTAAGTAATTGGATCAAGCTGTGTTAGGCTGTGGAGGCTGAGAAAGATGCCTTACAGCCGGTTTCAGGACGGAGCACTGTGGGGTAACCGAGCAATCCCTGAGCACCGTGTGCTGCAAGATGGATGAGGTGCATTTGGCCCAGGTGAGGTGGTCTCTAGTGCGTTTCCAGACAAGCCGCCATCATGAAATGTTCTAACAGCTTATGTGTGTCAGGCCAGGCTTAGTAGGAGATAGGTACACACTCGGTCTGATGTGAACTTGAATCACCTCCAGGGTGATTCACTGTTACTAGGTGGGCTTGAGCAAAACCTATGGAGGCCAGGAGATTTGCACCTTCCTTGGAGATCTTATTGCTGGGTTGTTTGAAACTTCTGATGTTTTTCTGAATGTTTGAGATCTAGGAAATAGCTATTTTAATTTACCCAGTCTTTGTGCATAACCTTCCTGTCAGTTATACTAGTTGTGGATATTTACTAATTCAGGACTCCCACCCTTACTGGATCTGTCCTATAACTGGTATATTCTCCTGTACATTTGCCATGTATTTATATTCCTTGCTCTATATTATTAGACCTTCCTTCTACTTGATCATCCAGTTTCACTGTAATTGTTTATTCTTCAATTTGCCAATGGAAAAATATTTAGAAATTATATTTTGCAAGTTCAAAAAGGTTGTTGTTTCTAATGTGTGTGTCTGTGCATGTGATACCATTAACTTCTCTTCTGTGTTTTTGTTATTCATTTATGGATCACTTGTCTTCTCTTTCCTCCTCCAGTTCTGTGAGCACCTATTCTAGGTCTTGCGCTAGTTCTTCCTCTCTCTGAGCACTTTGTCCTCTTAGCTTCATGGTAATTATTCTTTGCCGGTTCACTGGGCTTGGGGTTGGAACTAAAGCAGTGGCCATCTTGTAGATGCAGAGCAGTCTCATCTATTAGAGCAATTGGTCAGGAAATGCTCCTTGACCTTTTGAGGTTTCTCAAGGACATCACTATTGTCTTCAGGCTTCACAGCTCTAAGTACTATCATTCTCCTTGACTCAATTAGCCTGCCCGGATGCCTCAAATGTTATTTTTTGATGGAACCTCTATCCTACCTCCTAAACCATATCAGCTTCTGACTTTATATATTTCATACTATTCTTGGTAATATTTCTAAATTTTAATTACTGATTCAAAAAGTCAAAGTTGGTACCAGCAGTTGGCGTAATGCCTTATGTTGCTGGACTCCCATGTAGTCAACCACGGTTCGAGTCCTGGACCCGTGGCTTAAACACACGCTGGGCATGTTTGTGTGCGTGCCCAAAATCCTGAGAGGAGAATGGAGGAGAAGGGATTGTGGCATGGCCAATTCCCCTGGGGGGTGACTTCTCACTTTCTCTCTGTCTCTGTCTGTCTTTCTGGTGAGTGCACACACCCTATAGCAAAAACCTCTCAAAAAAATAAAAAAATAAAAAATAAAAAGCCAAAGTAAATTGCTATATAACAAGGAAAGGAGCAGGAGAAAAGGAATGGATGGAAATTAAAATTACAAATGCCAAAACAAAAAAATAAATATAAGACCTAGAAGATAAAATTTAAAGCTCTCTCTTATAACAAAGACCAAAAAAAGACAAAGCAAAGAAGTAAGCATTCCACTAATGAGTTCTGGAACCCAATAATCAAGAATTCCTGAATGATCAAAATCAATTTCTTTTCATTAAAAAGGAGGGCTTTAATTAAAAAGCAGTAAAATGAAATTTTCCAAAATGCAATAGTTTAACCAGTCTTACACTAAAACTGTTAAATGTTCAGTTCTCAAGAGGGAACCTTGAGTGAAATAAGAGAATTGTATTGGAGGTTTCCTTTTTATCTCTCTGTATGGGTCATTTTCCCATTTATAGGATCCGTGCTTAAGTTAGGTTTTACATAAATTTGAAACCATCAGGAATGAGAATGCTATAGAAATGAGAAATTAGGCACTTTTTTTTCCTTTTTTTTTTTTAAATTTGATACTATCCAAATGGTATTTAGAAACTCCTACTCCCCTCAGGCCAAACACCACATACTCCCCTGAGCATAGAGAGTCTCCCTTGCTGCTAAAGCAGTAGGACCCAAAGAGCAGGCTAAATAGAATGGCAAATGAAGCCTTTCCTTTGAATAAAGTTGTGTGGTATCCCCCCAAAAACTCAGTAACTAAGCCAAATAATATTTCAATGTAATCTTTTTAAAAATCAAAATTTATTTTAAAAATTAGTGAAAAACAAAGATGAACAAAATATCAAAATTTTAAATTATAGCATGACCTGTATTATTGGATTTCCTTTTTGTTCCAAGTTCCAATGTGGTTCAACACAGCACTGTCAGTAGACATGAATAAAAATCTGTAGTATTTGAACAAGGGGAGTAAGTCCGCTCCTTTTCCCCACTCAGTATCAGCCAAAGGCAGCTTGAGGTAAGGAGAAGAGCAGAGAGTGTCTTGAAAGAGATGCTTTGAGAAGAACTATGGTCCCAGTAGAGGAAGAGACAGATGGTCCCTCATGAGAATTTCTTTCTTACTTTCTTTTTCAAACATCTATTTATTTATTTCTCTGTTTATTTGTTGTGATTTTCAAGCTTCAGGGTCTCGAACTTGAACTGCTGTCAGCCATGTGAGAGTCCAGTGCCCTAACCATTATGCCACCTTCTGGGCCTCATGAGAATGTCTAGGTTGTATTTTAAACTATTCTGTGCAACTTAAGAAATCTGTGTTGTAAAAAATTTAGGTTAGACTTTTTTCTCATGTAACAAGGGAAATATTATTATTTTAAATCCAGATTAATACACTAAATTACTACATTTTAATTTATGCATTTTCTCATCTAAGAACACTTTTTAAAACTGTGTCTTTAGTTTCATAGTTAGATTTACCATTGTTTTAGATTTACCTATATGGCTGTTTTCAATTATACTGTCCTCCGTATCTTTCAGCTCTTAATTTTTATTCATCTCTAGGTCCTCATATTTTCAAAGACCCCCTGTGTCATATCTTTCACGACTAGGTAGTCATAGTTCCACCCATTTGTTTTCCAACATTTTGTGTTTCATGAAGGATGTTTTAGACAGTCTTATTTTTTCTTCATCATCGATCCACTACTTCTGCCTGCATATTTTCTTCACATTTATGGATAGTCATATAAAAACTGTCTCTACTTTTAAATATTTTTCCTGGAGGTCATGGCAGGTTCTTTTAACATATATTCCTAAAGAGATACACACACACACACACACACACACAAACACACACACACGTTAGGTTATCAGGAAAGTCATGACGTATATTTTCCCAGCAACCCAATATATGTACGCACACGGCCAACCTCCTAGCACAGCAGTGAAATGCCATGTAGAGGAAGCCGACTTCCAAACGGTCTACCTTGGTTTGAATCCCAACCCCACTGGCAACGTGCCGGGCATGCAGGCATGCAGGCTTAGGATTCTGACAGGATGAAGAAATAGAGGGAAAAAGGATCGTGGCATGACCGGGCCCCATTGGCGGGTGCTTGCTCCCTCTCTTTCTTTTTCTGGCATGCATGCACTCTTTGGCATTTTTAATTTATTTATTTTTATTTATTTATTTATTTTTGGAGAGGTTTTCACTATAGGGTGCGTGCGCTTGCCAGACAGACAGAGAGAGACATAGAGACAGAAAGTGAGAAATCACCCCCCGGGGGGATGGTCACGCCGCAATCCCTTCTCCTGCATTCTCCTCTCGGGATCTTGGACATGCACACACACGCGCCCGGCATTGAATTCTAAGCCACTGGGTCTGGGAAGCGAACCGTGGTCGACTACATGGGAGTCCAGCGACATAGCCATTATGCTAACTGCTGGTTCCCCTCTCTGGCATTTTTAAAACAGGAATACACACACACACACACACACACACACACACATTAAGAATATTCTTTCTGCCATACCATCCTAAAAGCAGTTCAGCAAGTACATACTTAAAACCACTCTTTCTCTCATGCATGCACACCTGCTCTTGATCTTGAATAACATTTGAAAAATAAGTAATTCAGGGTAAGTTAAAATGCTTAGGAATACTACAACACCCCGTATTAGCAGATTGCTCACAGCGGTGTGTCTGTGAAGAATGAAGGGCAGATGTAGCTTCATTCAATGAAGAACGGCTTCTTTGGCTCACTGCTACTCTTAGGATAAATGCCTTGTGTGATTCAAGTATTGAATATTTTCAACAGTATTTTACTACCCGAGTACTCTTGTCCGATTCAGCCTTGTTTTTAAGATACTTAAAATGAAATGACAATACAAATCTCACTCCGGTCTCATAACCGAATATCCTTTTCATTCTTTCCCTTCTGTGTGTAAACTTTCATAGCTAAATACAACCCAGAGGAAGGAGATACATGAAAGGAATGTCCTTCTGCTGGTTAGGGGCCTTTTGCAAAGTAAGTGGCTTTCTTGGAAAATAGGACATCTGGAAGACAAGCAGCACCATAACACCTGATGTGGTCCCCTTGTGAGCCTCTATGCAGTAAGGTTATGTAAGGGAGTACTTTAAAAAGTTCATAGGGGAATACAAAACAAAACTGGAATTGGAGTATATAATTTCATTTGGGGAAAAAAAATTGAAATCCTTAGTTTTTTCATAATAAACATTTTCCAAGAACTTTTTGAAGCTTCCCTCACGTCCTGCCCTCCATATACTAATGAACTTTAAAATTAAAACTCAGTGTGAACTATAATAAATCCCTGGGGACCAGTAGTTAGTATAATGTTGCTGGACTCCCATGTAGTCTACCACGGTTCAAGTCCCAGACCCGGTGGCTTAAACTCATGCCGGGCACGTGTGCATGCGTACCCAAGATCCCAAGAGGAGAATGGAAGCAAAGGGATTGTGGTGTGACCATCCCCCCTGGGGGGTGATTTCTCGCTTTCTGTCTCTATGTCTCTGTCTGTCTGGTGAGTGCACGCGCCCTATAGCGAAAAAACCTCTCCAAAAAAAAAAAAATCTCTGTAGCCTACAAAGTAAGTTCACAGGCACAGGTAAGTCTATTGTGTATTTCTTTGCATTTCATCAAGTTGTATAATAAAGTATACTTGTTTAGAAACTTTAAAAAATAAAATCTTGGGGCCAGTAGATGGTGTAGAGGTTACATCACTGGACTCCCGCCTGGCCAACTGTGGTTTGAGTCCCAGACCTGGTGGCTTGAAAACCATACCAGGTGCATGTGCATGCATGCCCAGGATCTCAGGAGGGGAATGAAAGAAAAGACATTGTGGTGTGGCCATCTCTATTGCAAGGCTGGGGGTGATTTCCTATTTTCCCTCTCATTGTCTCTGTCTCTCTCTCTCTCTCCCAGGTGAGCACACACATCACAAGGCAAAAACTTATTAAAAATAAATAAATAAATAAAAATAAAATAAAACCTTTAGGCCAGACCAACTACTGGGCAGGACACCACAGATTGACGGTTTCCCATTGTCACTGGAGGTAAGAGAAAGTATTTTCTGCACAACTACTCTCCTTTTCTTAGAGCTGTTTAAGTGGTAACATAGCCGTGCTTTCAATAATGGTCAAGACTTTGAGAATTATGAGGAACTGGGATAAAACACTAGTTCATCAACATTAAATCTGAGTTCCTGGAAACTACATTTTTATGCCATGGGCCATCTGTATATTAGTGTCAAAACATTTCAGCAAAACAGTAATTACAAGACAGGGAATCTAAATCCCAAAACAGCTCATTTTTAAAGACATTTACCCTATCATTCATTTTTCTCTTATTCATTCTAAATGTTTTTATGTTTTTGGTGGATATTTTAGTTTTCTTGGGCTGCCATGACAAAAATACCACAAACTAGGTGACTTAAGCAACAAAAATTTCTTTTCTCATGGTTCTGGAGGCTGGAAGTTCAAGATCAAAGTGTCTGCAGGTTTGACTTCTATTGAAACCTCTCTCTTTGGCTTACAGCTGACTGTCTTCTAAGAACACCAGTTATAGTGGATTGGGAGAACCCTACCTTTAGTATCTCAACCTTCAGTTGAAATGGAAATTTGCTGGAGTGCTAATTGACTCTAGCCTGATGTCTAAATTACCCAGGTATCCTGGAATTTGGAATTTTTCAGATAAAAAAATTCAACTGTTTTTTTTACTCCAATCTAAAGCAATTATAAGCAATGGCTATAAAGGTGATGAAATAAAAATAGGCAATCAGCAGTGTACTGGAAGAGATTAAATCAACTGTGTTGCCATCCTACTCAAATCCTTTATTTCAGAAAGCTTCAAGTAAGCAGACAGTCTACTGAGCAGCTGGAAGAACAAGAGGACAGAATCCATTCATTAAAAGTAAAAGCATTATATCTAATTCTAGAAAGATTCTTGGCTATGAGTAATCGATCTTGGAATTGACTTGAAACAAATTAAAAAAAAAGATACTGTAGTTTGGAGCAAATTTCAGTGCCAAAATACAAAGCAAAACAAACAAAAAACCCCTTCATAAAAAAAAAAATTAAACCTGGAGGCTGATGGAGGAGAGTAGTTGGATTCTCAATTTACAGTTGTAGGAGGCATCAAGCAGGGAGCAGAACCAGATCCCCAGTTCACCCAGGGAGTCCTTCAGATGTGGACAAGCAAGAATATTCCTTAGGGTAGAGCCAAGGCTCTCAGGGACAACTCATATTCGGTTATGAGTGCATATTGGTTTTTAATGTTGCATAACAAAGTGCTACAAATTTAGTGACTTAAAGAGATACATATTTACTAGTACACAGTTTCTGTGGATCAGAAGACTAGGTATGGTTTAGCTGGGTCCACTTAGCCTCACATAGAGTGAGTCGCCTGCTTTGTCTCAGACAGTCATAGTCAAGGTGTTATCTGGGCTTCATTCTCATCTGAAGACTTGATTAGGGGAGAATCTGCTTATGATTTCCCTCAGATTGTTGAGAGATTTCATTTCTTTGTTGCTTTCCATTTATTGCTGGTGTCTGCTCATAGGAGCTGCTTACAACTCTTTGACATGTAGATTTCTCCAATCTGCCACTTTCTTCATGATAGCTTGCAATGGAGAGAGAAGTCATGTGTCCTAGAAAGATGGGGTGTTAGATAATGTAATGTAATGTAATCACATCTTTTGGTCAGAAACGAGTTGCATGTCCTGCCCACACTCAAGGGGAGAATATTATAGAAGGGTTTGACCATCAGCAGGCAAGGCTGATGAAGGCCACTTTAGAGCCCATTTGCTACAGAGAGCTTTTCCAGAGTAAGTAACCACAGCTTCCAGGTAGGCCAACTAAGGAGTTTCCTCCACCATCAGAAGAGGAATCTTTCTTTTCCTGGCTTGCAAAATTTCCTAATTGTTATGGGTTAGACATTGTGTATTTTCCATTTACTATTTTCTTGAACTTAGGGAATGTCTTTATTGAGATTATTTTGTTCTTCCTCTACTATTTTGTATCAGGTATTTTGAAGATAAATACCTTGCTTTTAGTTTATAGATCATTGAAACACAAGAAGCACATTAAGATCAGAGACACCAGAAGTAAAGTTGGACATAGTCATTGGATAGACTTCAGAGTTGCTTCTTGGGCATAAAATAAGTATGTTACATGAATGGGCAGAATATTAATACCTGTTTGGGAAGTCATAGATACAGTTTGACATATTAGGTTTCTGTTAACAGAGCCAGTCTCATCACCCTCTCTTCTTGATTTTTAGGTATTCCCATAGACTTTTTACCATGAGGACAATGAGTAGCCGATACAACTTGCTAGAAGTCCTGTAATACATGGGGTTGTCTTGCTCAACAAAAAATTGTCCTACATCTCTCATGCCTTTTCACTGTCTCCTCTATATTCATGTATATGAAAAGTCTGTTTATGATTATCTGAGCTTAATATCTAACCCTGGGTTAAAGTACTCTCAGACATTTTTGAATGGTTTTAATATTCTTTGTGTTATGCAGAAATGCAGCTACCATGTAAATTGAGAGACGATTGTATTTTGCTTGGAATTTCACCAAGGGTGGGTCATGATTTCAGAAAAGTCTATCACTGATGTTAGTGCCCTCTGTGTGTTTACTTCCCAGTACTGCTTCAGTCTGTACTTGGGTCACTTTCATGGTATTCTAAGCATAGAAACAAACATTTGACTATTGCATTATGTGTTCTAGCATAGTCAGTGATTATATTGCAATCCACAATACTGACCATCTTTCTTCACATTAAAGATGATGTTGAAATTGTAAGGATAGTTCATTTCAGAACATAAAAGTAGAATAAAGTATTTTTTATATAAAAAGAGAACATTAGGCATGCTAGGGTTAACATGTATGGATTTAAGTGAAAGGTTAAACTGAACGCTTGTGGCAAGTTGAGGTTAGGGAAGCTTTCTTAAAATGAACAAGTGACTAACACGACTCGAAGAGTGATCCCGTGTTCTTCACAATTTTAAATGTTTCCTCTTAGGTTCTAGGTGAAAACCCTGTTTATAAATATGTGATAAAATGAACCAGCTGCCTTTATTTTCATGACCATCTGAGAAAAGATGATCTTTTGTACAAACAAAGGCAGAGTTCCTGTCAAAACAACAACAAAAGTAGCCATGTATTTTTAGTGCATGTTTTGTATCAAACACTCTGCTTCATACACATCATCAGAAGTCTATTTATTATAGAAATTAAATTAAAAACCTTCCCCCAAAGGAAACTCCAGATGCAAATAACTTGACAGGGTAATTCTAGTGCACATTTTAAAAAGAAATAGCAATCATCTCTACTAACTGACTCCACAACATTGGTTTTAAGAAGGGAAGATTCATATAACAAAAAAAGAACAGTGCAGGGGCCATCAGGTGTCATGGTGGTTAAGATGGGTGGACTCCCACATGGCTGACTGTGGTTCAAGTCTTGGACCTGGCAGTTCACTTTCTCACTTTCCTTCCCTCTCTCTGGTCAACTTCAATGAAATGAAATGATGACAATAAGTAAAATTAAATAGAATATTTTAAAAAATGAACACTGTAATGCACTGTATTAACAGAATAAAAAGAAAAGTCACATAGTATCCTATAAATGACTAACATTTTTGATATAATTCATAATAAAAACTCCTTTCAGTCCAACACTGAAAAGCATTCTCATCAATTTGATAAATGATATCTATAAAAACCCTACAGTAACTTCCATAGCTAATGGTGAAAAATGGTGAGGAGTTAGCAGTAAGACATGGATAAGTCTGTAATCATGCTAACAGACCAGACCCATATGGCTTAAGGATAGAACAATGAGTTAGTTGATGCTAGCCATACAAAAATTAAAACGTATAGCAACATCATAGAAGCCTTGAGCGTAAAACTGAAGTTGATGTGGAAGGCACACATTTAGAAGTCCAATGAAGTAGCATTGGAAACTTAATTATGGGCTGGCTCTGTGGCATCATGGTTGAGGCAGCTGGATCCCACATGGCCTGCCAAGGTTTGAGTCCCAAACCTAGTGGCTTACGAAACATACCAGATGTCAGTCTGTGCCCAAGTTCCCAAAAGGAGGAATATATGAGACGTAGAAGGGTGTGACCATGCCCTTTCCCCTCTCTGTTGTACCCTCCACCACCAGCCCACCCTCTCCCCCCATTAAAAAAAAAAAAGGAAAAGAAAAGAAAATTGAAGAACAAGATTCTGCTTAAGAACTAGAGGCTCAGATGTGAATTGCCTGTGCAGTCAGGTCCCTGCCTCAATCAAGACTTAACAAGTTGGCATCTGATGGGAACCAGCAGTTAGCGTAATGGCTATGTCGCTGGACTCCCATGTAGTCGACTGCGGTTCGCGTCCCGGACCCAATGGCTTAAAACTCATGCCGGGCGCGTGTGCGTGTGTACCCAAGATCCGGAGAGGAGAATGGAAGAGAAGGGATTGCGGCATGACCATCCCCCCTGGGGGGTGATTTCTCGCTCTCTATCTCTATGTCTCTCTCTGTCTGTCTGGCGAGCGCACATGCCCTATAGCGAAAACCTCTCCAAAAAAAGAAAAAAAAAAGTTGGCATCTGAGATTCTGCAACCTCAGTTAGTCTCACTATAGTGCTCTTCTCCTGAGGTAGGATTGATAGGATTACCACCTTCTTAAGAAGCAAATTCCAAACAAAAAATTACAAAAAGCAAAAGTAATAAGAATTAAATCAAGCAAATTTATGTTTAAAAAAACACCTGTAACAGTAAGTTTATGACTTCTATGTAATACTTTTTCATGTGTTTTTCTTCTATTTGTGATGTTTAAAACAGCACTTAAGATAAATAGATATGTTAGATTTAAAGATTTAATTAGATACTTTAGAGAATTTGAGTTTTACAAAATATGGGGAAATTTAATTTGTAGATTTGTATTTGTTTATGGTATAAGTATTATAGCTACTTAGAAGAATGCTACCTATCTAATGTTAAATAAGTGTTGTTTCCTTAAAAAGATAAATGTATACAGGTGCCAGCAAATAGTTCAGGTTCT